CTTCCATCATCTTTGATATCAACACTTTCCAAATGAACCATTTTAAAGATATTCAAATCACGTATAACCCTAATAATATAATGATTATTATCACTTGGAAAAATTCCTAATGACCTAGGGATTTGCGCGTCAGTATGTGTTTGTTTTTTTTTTCCTCTTTTTTTTTATTGTTTGTCATTTAATGAAAATTTTCTCTCTCTTCCTTCCTAAACTGATTCATTAATTGAGTTTGATGTATGCCAGCATCAATTTTTATTAACTAATTTATTAAATTCTTATCGGGTTTTTTTTTTTTTTTTGCAAATGTCATATTTGTTTATTACAAAATTCCTTTTGCTTGATCTTTTGTATCATTTCGATATTATATTTAACAGTTTTTATTCTATATCAACGCTTTTCTCTTATATTTTAATACTTTAATTAATTTGTGAAGTGCGCGGGAACAATTTCACTGGTCATAATGTAATATTGTACTCTGAGAAGGGGTTATTGCGCGAGTTTAGTTATTTATTTATTTTTCTGAAATCGTCCCTTCTTTGCCGACTTTTGCATTTGGGATATATTTTTTTTTTAAAAGTTAATGGGAAAGTTTCTACTTGAGCCCGAAGAAAGGTTTTATTTTGGGGACATGACCGAATATTGAATTTCGCCCAAATATGTCTGGGGGACAATGTAATTTCCACAATGAGAAGTTCCTCCAAATACATGTCAATTTTTGGAAACAAATCAAGACTGGAATCTTTTCCTTTTTTTTTTTTTTTATCAATAATCTGACGTTTTCTAGGTATTCCTTTCTTTGATGAAGGCATGTAGTTCTTCTGGTCTATATAAACCTAAACAAAAGAAACCTACTGAGCCAACCAAAAATTAAATTGGCTCTTTTTGTTCTCATCAAAAGGGTACAAAATTAATCAATTTCTGTGTTTGTTGGAGGAAAAAGATCAATGTCGTTGCTTTGCATCGAGGACTTTGATCATCATGATGAAAGGCTTTTGAAGGAGAAGGACATACAAGTTTGGGAGATTATTTTATTCTTTTTTAACATCTTTGTAGTAATGGTGTCTACAATCAGAATGAGACGTGTGGTTCAGGAGTCCGTACCTTACAACTATGCAACTCAGCAAGATACTAATGCCATCTACGTATTGGCCTTTGTGGCATTTCTCTGCACCGCCTTGGCCTTTCGAGGCTTATTTGCCTTGGTTTGTTCTTGTTCCAGAGTTAGGGCAATTATTAAAGAAAAAGAAGAATACAATCAAAAGTCATCAAGCTATGATCACGACAGTATTCTAATACTCGTGGATTGATCAACAACTATTCCTTATCGATATCTAATACTCGGATTGAGTTTTATTTGTTAGTAGTTTTAGGATTTAGGGTTTAGGTTTTACGGATTGGCCTCATGTTTAGGGGTTAGGGTTGTCATATGTAACAGTGATGATGGATTTTAAAATTCATTCGATATAGTAGTGCATTTTAAAGTCTCGCTCTTTGTTTGAATTTCTAATTCTCCATTTCAGATGATTGTTATAATTTAATTGGTTTTGAAACTAAAACAAATTGTTTCATATTCACATCGATTTGATATGTTTGTGTTACTTATGAATATGATTCAACAATAATAAAAGTTAATTAACAAACGTCGGGAAAGAAATAATATTTAAAAAGTTCACGTATGAAAATAATGTTTATTTATTTATTCTTTCATTCGTACAAGTTGTGCTTTCTTAATTTCTTTGGTTACCTGGTTTATGAAAATAATGTTTTCACTAGTTATTTTCAAGCCCCGCTTCGCGGGGCCCCTATTAACGAAATCTGAAAATCAAGGTGAAGTGTAGCTATATTTTTTCCATTTATATTCTTCTCGGATTCAGTAAGAATTGAAGTTAAAAGTAAAAGATAATTATAAATGAACATGTGAAGCGAAAAGTGATCAACAGATTATAAGGATTTTTTCTTTTTTTTTCCCCTTCTGTATATTACATATACTGTTTGTAGGCCAACACTGTTTTTAACAATTCATTCTGTTTATAAAGACACAATTAATCCACGAAGGTTGTATGTTGTAGTAAGTTCCTTTATCCAAACATGAATCTGTAAAGGGATACGTATTATCAAAATTGATCAATCATTTTTTTTTTCTTGTTGAGAGCCAAAACTACGAAGTAAAAAATCATTTTTATTTGTTTAATAATTCTAGAATTCAAAAAATCCTATTGCCCCACTTGAAATGAAAATTCAAAATGAGCAAATAATCTTCAGATAGAGTGAGCATTACAAGTAAAAAAATTCTAATTTTGGACTTTTTTGCATGAAAAACCGCAATCTCATTCATTCACAACAGGTTTTTTGAACTATTTTAATGAAGTAGAAGACCTAATAAGAAAACTCTGTTTCAAAAAAATTTAATTATTCGTCAAATCCCGATAAATATTTATAAAATTAAATTTTTTTTATTCATTCGATCAAATGTACACATCATTCTTTCCTGCAAATCGTTTTTAATATACTTTTTTGGTTACATTGAGAAAATAGCACTGATGGAAGAAAAAAAAAATTGAACAGATATGTGGGTGTGCATCAGAGGGTTATGTAATTTTCAATCGGAGGAAATAAATGTGTTCGTGGAACGAAATGATGTTTATAAGACAAATGGCACAATGTAGTCCATGTTTCTATTGTGTGCAGCATGTACTTCAGTTTTTTTTTTTTTTTCCTTTGGTCAGGTTAGTCTTACACTGTTAAATCAATTTGGGAGAATTAGTACATATCTAGGGACCACGACGAATCAATAGAAAGGAGATTAAATATGAAGTTTTATTATATGTTATGATGGATAAAATGTTTGAGGTATGATATATTTATGTAACAAAAGTGATTAATGTTTACATGTATCATGTATTATGTATGTATGCATGTAGGCATGTCAAATAAATGAGCCAGTACGATCCTTATAATTCCATTGTAGGGCCATGCATGTCATGATGACTTGGATTTTGTTCAGGACTTTTTTACCCGCGCTCCACGCAGGGTGACCCTTTTTCAATTTTTTGAAAATGAGATACCCTTGCAATTGTAAATTTAAATCGGGCACATAATGATATATTACTTGCAACGCGTCAATTTTATACTCAAAAAAGTAAAAGGGGTGCATAACATGTTTCTAACAATAGGTTAGTCTTCATATACAAAATGCTTACATATTAGATTAAGGTTGAAAGCCCACTATTAAAACAAGAGTGTTTGTTAAATATAAGTTCAAATCGAATATAATTTGGGGACGAAGAGAGTAGAAGATAAACTAAATACTACTGAAATGGTAACCGAGAACAAAATAAAGGCAATGTTAAGACTGATTTCATTGCATGAGAGCAAACAAAGAACAAAACGAAAGGTTGAGGCCAAAAGATCATACAAGTACTTTTTACCTTTTTCTTTTTCGTTTGTGAAAAAAAAAAGTGTTAAAAGTAAAAGTATAAGTGTAGTTGATGATTGACAATTGGCTATTTCTCCTCCACTCCACGAAATATATTGGTGAATTGAAAACATTAAAAAATAATCGTATTTTTCTTTTTATTTTATCATATGTCATGGACTTTGGTTAATAAAAAAACAAAAGTAGAAAATGGGTTGGTGACTACGACGACGACGAACGAAACTTTCCTGTAGAAGGGCAACTCACAAATTATATATAGAAATGGATTTTTCATTTGTACGAGTTGTGTTTTTAGTGAATCCCGTTTAAGTGTAGGTAATTCTTATGTATATCTCTTGGTGGGAATTGAACGTAGTACGTTTAATACCAAAAACACAACATTCTAAAAGATATTCCGTCACACTTGTTATGAATTAGAATGGAACTAAAATTTTTTTTTAGAATAGAAACAGTATAAAACAAATATAATTTCTTCTGATCGTTTCTTTTTATTTATGATTATTTAGTTCTTTTTAACCCATAATCCTTAATAGAAGTCATTTCTTCTTTTTTTTTTCTTTTTTTAATTTTGTATATTATCTACATCAAAAATAATAACTGATTCACTCATTAAGACACTTGATTTTAAGGGTGTTTCTAGATCATGACAAGTTACATGATCTATACTCGCTAAATATTTTTGTTACTATTACCTCATGTATAATCTAGAAAGAATAGAAGAATTTTAAATTCAAAAAAAATAATTCATTTACGATCAGAGGCAGATGGGACATGGGAGCATTGTGTATTTGTTCGGATGACACAATGGTGTAAGATAAGTTTCGAATATTAATTACTAAATCAAATCAAATCAACCCAAATCTAAATAATTTATATCGAATATTTTAACATAATAATGACCTGCCGTAACAAGGAGCAAGATCGATCACTTAACCACAAATTCCTATACCAGAAACTGCATTTTATATTGAAAATCTCGAGGCCGGTTTTTTTTTTTAATTTTTTCGGGAAATAGGTTTAAAGTTCAACTAAACAAGAACTGATAGAATTAGATTTGTTTGGGTGAATTACCTTTTACGGGAAAGATTATTGAGGTTATTAGTGATAAAGCACTACTAAATGCAAATAAATTTGAAGTATCATTAAGTACTCAATTATTTTTCCGCTATAGAACTGACTACATACATAGGCAACTGCATGGGTTTTGGATCGATGCGGGGAATGGATCAGCATTAGCATAACATCAGATCAGACCTCTACGGAATCGCCCAATTAAAATGAACACAAAGGTCAGTACAAATCATTAATGCATACACACGTAAAGTCTCTTTAATTTTCTAAAGCCAACTATTAAAAATGATGAAAAAGAGCGCAATAATGCAATATCAATCAACAGAAACGCACATTTAAAATAAAATTTTGGAGAGAAACACAAAATATAGGTGAATTTTATTTAAAATGTATTTTTATTAATTCCAGTAATTTATCAACCTTTTTGAGAGCAATTGAATTAATCATTAAATTATTATCCGCAATTCAATGGTTTAATCCAATTATTAAAAAAGTAAAGTAAAAGGAAGAACCTATTCCTTTTTAGAACGGCACTCCCACCCCATGTTATTAGGATATTTCTCACTTTTGTTTGGCTCCATTCATTTGGTCGGGTAGTCTGCAACAATGAGCAACGAGAGGAAGATGCTTCTTCCTTACCTCCCTATTCTTCAACTTCTATCCCAATATTGATTTCTTCTCCTCTTCTACCAATACAAACCGCCGGCAAGGACTTCTATGAACTCAATTATAAGGATGGCCTGCATTAATTATGAGGTATCTTTTTTGCTCATTGATATCTTAGCTACCATGCATAGTTAACTTTCGTAGATATTTCGCGTTCGCTGCCTTTTTTGTTTGTTGGTTGTGTTTTCATCTCATTATCTTTATGATGAATACTTTGCTCGAATTTCGTACTAAAGATCATCTTTGAATTACATATATATATAGTTGCGAGTTAGTTATCGTCAAACTTTTTCTAATTATTTTGGAACTACAATAATTTCTTTGTGTTAATCTGATGCAATATATATATAGGGTTCGTAAGTAAGAATTTCATGCACAAAAATCATGTTTTGCAGAGGGAATTCAGTTCAAATTAGGAAACACTTAACGAAAATAATTTTTTAGTTTTTATTTTTATTTTTGTTTTTGGTAGAACAAGGCGGTACCTAGCGAGGATGACATCCGATTTATTATTTTAAAGAAAGATTTGACAATGATTAATACTTATCAGAATATAAGAGACAGAGAATATAATGTTTGAGAATTACGCAGACTCTCCTAAACACTTAACGATTTATTATTATTATTATTATTATTATTATTATTATTATTATTTGATTATGATGATATATAAATGTGGGTGATCCATGGGGGAGTGTTTCTTATATTCATTCTATCCTAAGAAGAATAGTCTATATCTTTATATCTGAAGTGTTGTTTTTAATATTTGACTAACTTGTACTTAGTAGTTGGGTTGGCTACTCATTCCTTGTTTAAAATGCATGTCAGTAAGTCAATAATCGATCACAGACATATATATATATATATATATATATATATATATATTGATATCTTCTCGTACCTATCTCACAGTTGCAAAGAGATGTTGCCATCGATAATTGTATTAGAAACATATTGGATGATATTAACTCATTAAGGCGTGTGTTTGGCTACGAGGACCCACTTATGTTGTATGCATTAGAGGAAGCGAAGGATGCATGCAGATTGATGAGAATCCTTTATTTGTGTGGAAGGAAGTTGGGGAAAGGTTTGGTGCATTTCGATTCAGCGTTCTGTACTTTGGAAGAGAGCATTCACAAGCATTCTCTAGAAATTCAGTCTGTTTGTCTCACATTAATGGAGACTTCTGATGTTTTTTTGACATTTCGAGACAATAACGTGTCTCTCTACAACTGGGTTCTTCGCTTCCTAGGTCAACAGGAGGATGCGATTTTGGGAGAACTAGTGGAACTGCACCAGGTTCTCTCAAATGTGTCGTTGGAAACATTCCCTAATTCTGACATAGAACTGGGAGATCTTCTAATTATCATCGATTCCCTTCTCGATCTATGTTGTCCCTTTCTTTCAACCACCGACATGAAGGAGTGTCTGAAGTTCTTGAAGAATTTCATTCGTTTTGTCAGGCTACAAGGACTTGGAGGTAAGCAAATGGGAGGTCTATTGATACTCGCCAGGGGCCTGTTGGTTGATGTTGCTTGTTTCATTTCCTGGAGAATAGGACATGAACGGCATGACAATTATGAAGCTTCTAAGTGGTCGAACATTGACGAACTTGTAAACAGAATAGAGCCCCTTGAATCTCATGTTTGTGAGATTTATGTTAGAGCCCTGCAGGAAACTTCTGAGTTGTCATCATCATCGAACCATCTGGCACCACTAGACCAATTCACAGCACTTGTGTTGGCAGATTTTGTGGATTCTCTCGTATTTCTTCTTTGGCAGTACTTATTCCGTGGAACCGGTTATAAGTACATCTTTGATAATCAAGTACGGAGATTATACATGGGGCTCAGACTCCTGAGAACCACTCTGAGAAAACAAGTTGATAAGGCCAACGAGTCATTGGAAACAAGGCATGGCCTTATCGGAGTCTGGATTTGTGAGGCAGGAGTCACAATTTGTTATCTTTTTCAAGGCGAGAAAGATAGGAAGACCTTGTATGACAAGGTAGAGCTCTTTTCCTTGGATTTTCTCTACTTGGAGAAAGAAGAAGAAGTGGGTCCAAGATGTCAACTAACATCATCAGCATTTCCTCAGACAAACTTCCTCGGGTTTCTCGATTCCCTGTTGGAGAAAATGAAATCTAGCCGTGAGGCTGTAAATATCGCTTCCACAAAGAATGAGTTTAACATTATCCAGGATAATCTTGCATATTTAAGATCTTTTTTGGTTAATGTAGTTGGGCAGAATGATCAAACTGGGAATCTCCAAGCACTCTTGAGTCGTATTGCTACGGTAGCCTATAAGACAGAGTTTGTCCTTGATTCTCTAGTGGTTGGAGACACATGCCAGAGCTTTACTCTATTGATTGATAGCATCGCATCAGAGACTAAGCTTATTAAGACTGAGGCATTAGGAAGTTCTCCTCGCAAGGGGCGGATGATCGAATTCCAGAGGGCAGATACAATTAATAACAGGAAGCTTTCAACAAGTAAGATCCCAGAATTCGATGAGCCTATTGTGGGCTTGCATGATGAGTCGCAAAAGATAATTGAGCGGCTCATAAGAGGTTCGAAAAATTTGGACGTTGTTTCCATAGTAGGTATGGCTGGATTAGGGAAAACCACCTTGGCAAGAAAAGTTTATCGTGATCCCTCTATCACCATCTACTTCCAGGTTCAGATCTGGTGCACCATTTCCCAAGTGTGGAACAAGAGAAGTTTGTTGCTAGAGATTTTGAATAATCTTGGTCAGAAATCGGTTGACATGCTATCAAAAATGAGTGAATATGATTTGGGTGATACACTCCGTAGATATTTGAAGGGAAAAAGGTATCTTGTCATTCTGGATGATGTTTGGGATGCCGAACTATGGAGTAGTTTGAGAATTTCATTCCCATGTGATAGTACCGGAAGTAGAATTCTTGTAACCACTCGATCAGAAAATGTGGCTCTACAAATCAGACAAGAGAGTAAATCTCACACTCTTCGTTTCCTCACCGAGACTGAGAGTTGGGAACTATTTCAAACAAAGATGTGCTTTGAAGGAGGTTTTCCTCAACAACTAATTACACGTGGAAAGGCAATAGCAACCTGTTGCAAGGGATTGCCATTGATGATTGTAGTTGTTGCTGGAATTCTTTCAAATATGGAACCAAGTGCTTGGGAGGAGATTGAAGAGTGCCTAAAGAAGGGTAATCTACGTGCTACAGATGAGTGCAAGGAGATTCTAGAGTTGAGTTATCGTCATTTACCAGATTATTTGAAACCGTGTTTTCTTTACTTTGGGGCATATAAGGAGGATCAAAATGTACGGGTTTGTGAATTGTTATGGTTGTGGATTGCTGAAGGCTTCGTGAAGAAAACTGAGAAAGAGTGCGAAGAAAGTGTTGCCGAGAGTTACTTGATGGAGCTGATACAAAGAAATTTAGTTATGGTTGCTGAGAGAGGGTCCAGAGGTAAGGTGACAACTTGTGTCCTCCATGATCTATTACACGACTTATGCAGGGAAAAAGGTGAACAAGAACGCTTTCTGCACCAGACAGACTTCCATGAGCTTGGTGTTTCCCCTCCGTCAGTGATGTTGTACCGATTGCATGTTAAACCAGGGAAAGTTGAGGAATTTGCAGACTCATTGCTAACTTTTCCTTATTTGCGCACACTCTTGATTGACGATGACTCCAAAAAAAGTCAGGCGGCACAGTGGCATGGTATCCTTTACAACTTTTGCCAGTCCAGACTTTTAAGGATTTTTGTTTTGAACGGAAACTTTGAGTTCTCTTTCTTCCCAAGTGCAATTCAACTACTTGGTCACTTAAGATACTTGGCTTTCGCCTTGGATCAATCAGTTAGCATCCCACCGTCAATCGATTCTCTCTCAAATTTGGAGACATTGATTGTTCGAGGACAGAACGATATTTTGCTGCCAAATTCTGTTTGGAATATGATAAAATTAAGGCATATGAAAGCATGGTTGTGGGAACTGCCTATGGAGAATCCAAAGCATTTGTCAAGTTTATTGAACTTGCATACTCTTTCCCGCGTAACATTTTCTCATGGGCAGACAATGGAGGAAGTAATTAGGAAGCTCCCTAATGTTCGCAGGCTTAACTGCACGCTGTCCTTGAAAGAGGAGGAAGATGGAACCTTGAAAAGTTTCACATTGGATTTTTTGAGTCAACTTGAATCACTAACCATCTCCCGTCATTGGGATGATAAGTGTATGTATCATTTTCAGTTTCCTCCTAATCTAAAGAAGCTAACTCTGCACGGGCTTGAGCTTCCATGGAGTGAACTTTCAGTAATTGATAGGCTGCCAAATCTCGAGGTCCTCAAATTACTAGGGCAATCATTTACTGGGAAAACATGGCATGTCGGAGAAGAAGGAACATTCCCCAAGCTCCGATTTCTGAAATTGGAATGCCTGGATTTAGTTAGATGGACAATGAATTCAGAGGATAATGTCCCTTGTCTGGAGATGTTATTGCTGAAAAGATGCGAGGAATTAGAGGAATTACCCACTGATTTAGCCCAAAGCTCAACTCTTCAGATGATTGAGGTAATTTCGTGTCATCTTGCCGCTAATTCAATGAAGGAAATTGAAGAAATAAAGACGGAATTGGGAAATGATGATCTCAAGATTCATTATGCTGAATCTGCACCAAGTGAGAGTTACTCATCAGAGGATGAAACAGGTAAGTTCAAACATATTTATGCCTTTTTTTTCTTTTCTTTTTCTCTTTTTCTTTTCCTTTCCCCAGTTAAACATTACACGTACTTTTATTTACCCAAACTGCAGCTTTTGTTTCCTAATAAGATCATGTTTCAAAATAGAAATGATTCTTTACATGGGTATGCATCAGATCTTTTGGCTAATCTTCCTAGTGAAATTAAAGATTTCATGTGTAGTGATAGAGTTGGTCGGCCGGATAACCTAGGATAACCTATGTATGTATGATCTTGGTTCAAAAACTACCGGTTACCGTTCATGAACAACCGAGTCATGGTTAAAAAATATGTGAACGTTAATTGGTCCATAACTCTAAGAACACAGTCAGTTATGATTTGTGAACCGCGAGTGAGAATCCAATTCTGCGCCAGTTATGTTTTCAATCGTTGACTCTTTTAATCTGGTATATTTACACTTTAATTTGATTTTATGGTCTTATTAATCTAATATTTATACCGTTAAATTATTTAAAAAAAGGACAAAGAAATGTTGAGTCACGAAAGAATCAATAAATAGTGAAGAGAGAGAGAGAGAGGTAGGTTTGGTGATTACTTGCATCGTGGTTTAAGAAAATCTTCCCTGTAAAAAAAATTTGTGTATTCTTTTAAAATTTAACCAAATTAGCCAATAATCCATATAATCACATGGGTTATTTTTTTGAGGCAAAAGAAATATCATTTTAACATAAACGGTCAATTATTCTGAAATGTATTTTTTAATTCAAGTCTTAAATGGAACTTTCAAATGTATCAAGTTATAATTTTCAAAATTCCAAAATTTTGTATATTGTAATTAAATTATAATCAAAATAACGTCTAACACGTTTGTGACAATCAGTATTGTTAGTTTTGAAGGGTGGTATTTTAAAAGATTTGAATCGTAGTCGGCCCTTGAGTAGACAGTCTAATTATGATTATCGATTCTGGTTAAAATATGAACTGTGTCATGTTTAGGAAAATCAATGTGTAATGCCAATCACCCTTTAATATATATATATATATATATATATATATGTATATATATATATATGGAGAGGTTAGAGTCAATTAAAAATGACAACCGTTTTAGTATAATAATCAAAGGATTAATTAGGCTAATTAACAACCGTTGATTAAAATAAGGGTGCATCATAAGTAAATATACCTAAACCCACCTAATTAAGCAAAAAACTTAGAGGAAATGGTCAATTTTGCCCGGAGCTTCAAGTGTCTGGCCAATTTGACCCAAAAGATATTAGAAAGCCAAATTCATCATGTAAATTTCAATTTCTGGCCAATTTAATTCAACTGACGAAAATTTTATTAGATTTAACACTTCCGCTGACATTCCGTTCTTTTGTACAATTTTTTTTATTAGAAAAAGATTTGGTGGACCCCATAATTTTGACATTTTAACCCCAATAATTTTAGTTGTTCTAAAATATACCCATAAAAGTTTTTTCTTCCCTTTTTCATTTATACTCTGTATATTAGATTATGAATTGCATTTATGTTTCTTAAATTCTTTTTATATTAGATTAATGTACATCGTTGTTTTTTTTTGCAAAATTGTATTTCAAAAGGCTAATTTATTTTATAATAACTTAGAATTAATGTCAAAAATTAGACACCATATATAATGTATGATGAAATTTATTTTAAGTGACTGTAAAAAATTTAATGCCATTAAAAATTACTATACTCAACCAAATGATTCAGAAAATATCGTCATTAACTCAAAGATTCTATTAATTTTGAGAGATTCTGTTATCCAACATCAATTTTATTTGTTCATTATCTTCATTATTTTGTTATTTCCTAAAAAAAAATGTACAATAAAAGTGAGTATCTACCATCACCTCCAGCCGCCAACACCACTATCATCACCTTTGGCCGCCTTAACGGCCTTGTAGGTGCATTAGTTTTCCTTCTTCTGCATAATACATTGATTTAAATGATAGTCATTGAATTTAAAGGTAGTAGTTAATTGAATTTAATGGACCGAAAATGTCTAAAATAAGTGAAATGGGACTGCCCTTTAAGTTACGAAATGTAGAAGGATATTTTTTTTTGGCATAAAGAATTTTGAAGAATGGAGATCAAAAAAAATTTTGATAACAACCTGCTAAAAAAGATAAGCATATCTCCGCAGTGAATTTTTTTCGGCTGCTATGGAGAAGAAGTGGGCAAGGGAGAAATGGTGTAGGCAGAGGGAGGTCCATTACTTCTTTTAGAAAGAAGAAGGAAGAAAATAAGAAAATTAAGCAAAGTATTTTGTAATTTTTGTGGAATTGAAGAAAAGTGGCAGTGACGGAAATGCTGGTAATGATGGAGGGAGGATTGTGTACTGTTGGTGGAGACAAATTTTTATGTTTGTGGTGATGGTTTGAAATCCTCACAGATTTAGGAAGTGATGATGGTAATTTTTAGGGAAGAAGAGGAATGGGGTCGTGGTGGTGCGGCGACAGAAAATAAGTAAAGGTGGAAGGAGGAGGAAGAAAAGGAAAAGGCTTAGGATGGAAGCAATGGATTAGATTGGGAGATAAATTATGTGGTGGGAATAATTATAAGAATTAAATGATAACATAAGAGTATGTTACTAAATAACAAAACAGTATGGATAAAATATTAAAATTTTGGGCCAACAAAGTTTTTTCTCACTAAAAAAACTGTACAAAGTAACGGAATATCAGTGAAAATGTTGAATCTAACAGAATTCTCATCAATTAGATTAAATTGGCCAAAAATTGAAACGTAGATGATCAATTTGGCTTTCAAAAATCTTTTAGGTCAAATTGGCCAGACACTTGAAGTTTTGGGCAAAATTGACCATTTTCCAATTAGTTTAGAATATTTTAGAATGTTATTCACCCCATGATAACATCTTATGCCCTCAATTTTGATTGGTTGAAGAAAAAATGAGACGGTTCCGTAAAAATGGCTAACAGGACTATATATATGGAGAATATCAAGAGTCCCGTTAGGGAACCGTCTTGTTATTTCTTCAACCAATTAAAATTGAGGGTATAAGATGTGATCATGGGGTGAGTAACATTTTAAAATATTCCAAACTAATTTTTCATTAATTTGTTTTTAAAAAATATTATAACCTGCTTCACTCTAGGCGACTTAAACTGCATAAATTTTTTTCTAGGATTGGTTTAAACAATTTATTGTGCACGATCTTCTAAGTTGATTGAAAATTTGGTTATTGTCGAATTAGATGAGGTTTCCAAGGATTTGGTGGAGAATACTTATATTGTAGAGATTTTTAGTGTGAGAGTGTCTATTTAAGTTTGGAATACATAAAGAAATTTTTTATGAAGTTTTAATACTAGTATTAAGTATGGTTTTAGATTAGGACTTGAACAAATTATTGTTAAGAATGTAGACTTTGAAATAAATTACTTTTTTGTATGGTTCATGAGATCTTTACATCTTGAGGTTGTAGTTTGTCGAGAATTTCTTAGTCCTTTAGTAATCAGTAAATATTGATAGATATTTTGGGAAATACATTTAAAGTTTACTCCATTTTCCCTTTGAAGTTGAGAACTTCCAATGGAACCATTAAAAGTATATAAGTGATACTTTTTCACAGTTGATGATGGTGTTTAGGTTCTCTTACGAAACAAATTTAATTTTTTAAAGGTGAAACTAAAGGAAAAACTAAGAGAGCAATTTTGAAGAGCAAGAATACCCGAGGAAGAGGGAGAAAATAAAGGAAAAACTAATATGATAACTCTCTTAAAATCATATGTGAGCGTAGTATAGGCAATTTATAAATTTTGCTTATAATATAACAAAATTTTTCTCAATATATCAACTACCACATATCATCTACTATTTTTCACCTCTCAACTACCCAACTTTATATATTTTATCAATTTTATAAAGTAGCTATTCTATTACATCACATTAAACTAAGTGAGCAACCAACGTAGTCCACTTTATACTTACTAATGCCATTTTTTTTTTAATTTTTGACAATTTTTCCCTTTTTGAAACATTTAAACTGTTTTTCCAAAGTTTGCATCTAAAAGAATTTGAATTCCGCTAGCAATTAGGCAATAACGGATCTAACTAATAAAGGACTAAACGCTAGATTTAAATAATATCGAGAAATGAAATACTTTGTTTTTTTAAAAAAAAAAAATGTAATTACGGTCGGGTGCGGCGCTCGACCGGTGGCGAGCGCCCTTGGTGTATGCATCGCCTCAAGGGTCAGCAAATAATTACGAGTACACCGCTGGGGCACATACTGTGGCCCCCGCCGCCGCCGGTGGAGTGTAAAATCACCCCACTCGAATGCGGGCCAAACGCCACTCTTAAGCGTGCAATCCTTGGACACACGACACTCTTGAACACCCCTTTTGTTTTCTTAATAAGAAATTCCTTTCTAGCATTTCTTAATTAATATATTAAATGAATTAATAATATTTTTGTATTTATTAGTTGTATATTATTAAATATTATTAAAATTCAGAACCTAAATTAAAAATGAATAATTTAGAAATTACTTCAATAAAAAATTCAATTCAAGAGGAATACAATATGCCTCAACAGCTTGCTCTTCTTAATAAATGGTCAATACCAAAGGTACCCACTAATACTTTGTATGAATATAGTATGTTTGATCGATACTTGGTTAAACAGGTAGTTAAAACTACTGAACAATCAATTGCTTTAAATTCTGATGAAAGGGTTTTACAACTTTTGTCTGCTACAGATATTGAATCTTATAGATCAAATAAAAATTACAAGTTCATGCATATTGGATTGGTGCAAATTGCATTTAAACCTTTAACTTTAGAAGGTTTACTCGAATCTTTATTCTTTGCCTTACGTGATGGTAGAAATTTACATTGGAAAAAATCCTAATGGGCATAATACAGTCGAGCTTAGCTCATGGTCCAGTTTATTTTAATGTTTATCCAAATTTACAGTTATCATTGTCTGATGTTAATATACTCGATACTTTAACATTAAATGTAAAATTACATGGTTATAATTATTTACCGGGAAGTGAACTTATTTGTTTACATTACCGTATTTGTTTTAAATTATTAAATACTTTAACACCCAAATGTAAGATTATAAGTAAACCATCTGATGAAACCATACTTATAGAAACTAATTTTTATAAATCTCAAATTAGTACTCGTAAAACTATTAAATGGGAAGAAATTGAATTTCCAGAGTCTTGGCAAATTAATAAAGGAATTAAAAGAAACTCATTAACTCATAATGTTACAAGTTGTAATATTACAGAAATTGAACAATCTGATAATGGTCAGATAAGTATTACTTTTGATAAAACAAAAAATTCCTAAATTACTAAGATCTAGCTCTCAAAGATCTTTTAAATCTTATATTGATCCAGTCGATTCTAATAGATTTTCAACATCTTCGATTTCTGAAATAGATTTAACAAATAGAATAAATCAAGTAAAAATTGATCCATATAACATTGTTCGGTCTGCTGATAGTAAGACTTATGATAAGGATATGCCTTCACCTTCTGAAATGGATTATCATGGCGAATACTGAAAAATTATATTTTAGTCCAGGATCTAATATTAGACAAATAATAAGACAAGAATTTCAATATGAAAAGTGGAAACTTTTCAGAGAATGGTTCTTTTCTACTTATGATATTGAAAATCAAAAACTTATACAAAAAGAATTTTATGAATATGCTTCTTTTCACAATCAAATAATATATTTTGTTCCGTGGTTTATAATCACTTATCTTGATAAATATATTTTCCTCCTTGAAAGAGAATATCATCTTGCAGATGGAAAAATTACAAAAGGAATTTACCCTCCACAAAAAGAATTTGTTCTAACAAATGCAACTCATATAACTTTTTCTGCTTTTCAAAAATTAGTTGAAAGTGAAGTTTTACCTTCTACTGTTTCTTTAGTAAATAAATTTATTCAGCAAAATAATTATACAAATTTATATGTAAAAATTTTAGGAGAACAAATTAGTTCTTTACATGATAAAGTTGACAAATTATTTTCTCTCATAGAAAATCTTCAACAAACAGTTAAACCAGTTATGATTGAAAACAAAACTAAGGAAAAATTTTATACAACCTCCTCCTATAGTAAAAGATTATAATCTTGAATCTCCACATGTATTAGAAAAATTATTGGAAGAAAAATTTAAAAATCTTAAATTATCCACTTTAGAATTTTCTGAGAATATACAAAAAGATTTTGATAAAACTCTACGAGATGAAATAAATCGTCTTTCTCATAAATCTAGACATAATAAATTTGCTAATAAACCATATATGAATCATTATTATTATCCTCGACCTTCTCCACAAGATCTTCTTTATGAAGAACATCAAGAAACTACTAATAGTTATAGTAGTCGTTCTGTTTATGAATGGAATTGTGATGGATTTACTGATAGGCAATTAACTAATATGGTGCATAGGATGTTAATGTACT